TTTTGTAAATATACATATTTTTATTACAAGATGTAATTCTTTAAATCAACATACAATATCCTTTTATTATAATATACAATACATTACAAAATGTTTAACAATATTAATACTAAGTTTTTATATGTATATTATGATATTATAGGGTTGTATTCATTTGAGAATTTTAAAAATTTGTTGAGATTTTAGAAACCTGGTATATTTAACTTAGACTTTAAAAGTCTTAATGTACTCATTTGAGGTTTTTAAAAAGTCTTAAAATTTTGGTGAGGTTTAACTCTTAGGTTTTTTAAGATTTTATAAGATTTTGTGAGATTTAATGCTGAAATTTTAAATACAAATTATATTTGCCAAATTCCACTACGAAATTTCTCCTTTAAACTTAGAGGGATGTATTCGTTTGGAAGTTTGAGTCACATTTGAGATTTTGCGATTGGACATAACTTTTTTTTGAATGTTATTGGGTTTATTGAATAAAATGAATTCACGTTTTAAAAATGATTGAGTGGATCTTTGAATTAGATTTTGAGTTTGTATTTGGAGATGAGTTAGAATGTTTGTTTATACATTGTTAGTTAAAATGACACAAGTAGATAAATAGTAAATTTTGTTGATGTGATGCGTGATAATTAGGTTATTTAGTTATATTAATAATATTGTATATTAATATATGAAGAATTAAATTTAGTTTTGTGTTAAAAATATGAACATAAAATTATTTGACATAGTTGAAGTGGACTTGATTGGTTAAATTTGGATTGTATTTATGTCCAATCGTACCACTTGAGTTTTGAGACTTAAATTTTAAAATTGATGAGGAATCTATGAAATATTAAGTGTATGCTCGGATACATTTTTTTTTTTTTTAATAAATCCATTTATTTTTAACCAATCATTTTGTTAACTCAAATATAAATTAATTTTAATTCAACTCAATTATCCTTAATATTATTAATGTAATTAAATAACATCACTCAATCGTTCTTACACATTACATCAACTCATATAATTTTAACCAATCATCACTTCACATTATATCTCTCATACTTTTACATCAAACTGATTATAATTATTTTATTTTAAATATTACTTTAATATAAAAATAAAATCCAACTACAGCTAACCATACAATTTATCTTTTTCAAAATTAACCAAGCAAAAAATTCTAAACAAAATCGAAACATCTTATGTTTCAAGCATTTTTTAAGTAATGAGGGAGATTTGAAGTGAGATTCATAAATGTTTTTTTTTTAATCATTACAAATATTAAAAAAATCTAATTAATTTCAATTTCAAATAAGTTAAATATTTAAAATGTCAAATACATATGATTAAAAATCTTAAAAATTATAAGTTGAATACACTAATATTCTAAAATTTTAAAAAGTGTTAAAAGAACTCTAAATAACTTAAACAGAAATTATTTGGAGTCATCGGATGGTTCCTTTATGGAGCAATTCATAACTTTATGTACTGACATACGTCTAATATGTATTTAATGCATGACACGTGTCAATACACCATTTGTGAATAACTATGGATGACTCCATAAACTAGGGGTGGGATTTTATACTCGAGAACTGGAGAACCGAACCAAATCGAACCGAAAAAACCGGTTCGGTCCGGTTATTTAAAAAAAAATAAATCGGTTTTCAGTTATTTTTTGCATGTTTCAGTTCCCGTTCCCGGTTCCTTTCCAAATGTATGCATATTAACCGAGAGGAACCGATTATATATGTGAAAATATGCATGTTTTATATGTTTATATGTATGAATCTGTTCCGGTTGTTGTACTTAATATTCGGTTCTTCATTTTTGCATTCGGTTCTCGGTTTTTCATGA